TGACAGCCAATCAGAGGCATCCTTTCTCCAAGCATGACAGTGCTGTGACTAACAGCCACTGACAAGACTTGCCAACCATGAACTCATTTACAGGTTTGTTGTTTTTTAAAATCATCTCAGGTAGTCACTATCACAACATCTTTTGATAGTAAATTCCATAAATAAGTATGCATTCTCTGAACTGGAGACGAAGACAAGCTCAGGAAGGAACTTCGCTTTGGTTCTTTGTGGTGCGTACCTGGATAAAACTGCAGGAGACCCGAGGCTCCTGGGATAGGACAGAGGGTCCTGAGATAGGACAGAGGGCTCTTTCACACATATTATGTGGCTACCGGCATGGTGTGGGGGGGGGGGGGGGAGCAGAGAAAGAAAGCAGCTTTAAATGCATTCTCTCTTTCTTAGACATTAGCAAACAAATCAACATCATTGGACAAACGTATCCTCATCAATATCTGTTTTTACCCCTTTTGTTTTTATTTTTGGCAGCCTCATTTAATGTTAATAAAAAGCAAATCTGCATATTTGTTCATGTCTTGTGGCTCTCAAAACATCTGATGCTTATTCTATGTGGCTCCTACATTAAGCAAGTTTGGCCACACCTGGTGTAGTTGATAGCAGACTGCAGAACAGGTAAAGCTCCATTGGTCCCAGAACAGCTAGGTTTGAGTCCAGTAGCATCTTAGAGACCAACAAAAAATTTTCAGAAAATTCTTGATAGAGGCATTTGCCAAGCCGTCACTAATAACAGGGAAAATTAAAGAAACTTATGGCAACTTATTAAATTAAATTAAAAAGCCGAGTTAAAACCAAATGAGGTATTAAAAAAACAAAATATAAACTTATCCTGGTGGGAAAAAAATGTACTAAAATCAAGATACAATTAAGACAAAAAAATAGGATTCTATACCAGTCTAAACGAAATTGATAAAATTTGGCTTTCTTCCAGTGATAAACTAATTCAGAAACTCTATACAAAATTATTAGAGGACGATCTACAAGAAGAGATTATAAAAACGCCAATGATAGCCTGGATAAAAGAGATTGGTCACACAATAGAAATGGATCAATGGATAAAAACATGGAGATCATTAAAATATATGAGCGTGACTTCATATAAGGAAAACATATATAAAATGTTTTTTAGGTGGCATTGGACCCCTGTTAAAGTTGCTAAATGCTTCCCGAAAGCATCAAATATCTGTTGGAGATGCAGAAGGAATATAGCATCATACCTCCACATATGGTGGAGGTGTGACAAAATCCAAACTTTTTGGGAAAAAAGTTATAAAATCTTTTCAGATGTACTTAGAATCAATATGCCATTAACGCCAGAAACATATTTACTAAATATGATTCTGGACACAATAAAGAACCACACACATATAATAGTATACTTATTAACAACAGCAAGAATTCTGATAGCAAAGCATTGGAAGTCAAAAACCATACCATCTATAAGAGAGCTTAAACACAAGATTCTGGAAATAGCAGAAATGGACAAACTGAGTATAGTATTAAAACCAGAGGAACTTTTTTGGGACAGATGGGAAATAATTTATACCTGGCTGAAGATGAAGATAAAATAGAACTGAAAATTTGCTAGTAAAAGATAATGGATGACAAATGAGAAAGATGAATTTTATATTAGGAAATGTGTAAGTACTAAATGGATAGCTTTACATATTTTTGTGAAATGAAAAATGAAAAAATAAATTCCAAAAGAAAAGATTTTTTCAGAAAATTCTTGTTGGTCACTAAGGTGCTAGTGGATTCAGATCTAGGTGTTCTACTACAGACCAATATGGCTACTCTCTGAAAACTGGTTCAAAAATGACTTTATGGAAGAAACATGGATTAAAGTAAGTGGTAGGGATGGAAGGCTCTAGATACAGGACAGAGCTTCTAGAGGATCTAAGGCTTCAGTAGAGGGAATGAGAGCAGAGGAATCAATGTGCATCTGTTGTTCCGTCTAGGAATCAGGAAGAAATGGGAGGCAGCGGAGTCACACAAGAAGCCTGCAAACACAGGGCAAGAAGATGGTCAGTCTGCATCAAGAATAAACATTCAGAGAAGTTCAGCAAGCCCAATAGCAAAGCATCGGCGAGTGGGCCGGGTAATCTGTGGAGTTTGTGGAAAGAGATTTGTCAGGACTTGTGAACTGTTCACACATCAGCGTACCCATACAGGTGAGAGGCCGTACCAGTGTTCAGACTGTGGGCGTTGCTTTTCCGTCCAATCCACACTGGTCAGCCACCAAAGTATCCATACTGGGGAGAAGCCTCACAAATGCCAGGAGTGTGGCAAAAACTTCCGACTTAAGAGCAATCTGACCCGCCACCAGCGCGTCCACGATGGTGTGAGACCATACCAATGTGAGTACTGCGGGGCCAGCTACAGCACTAAAGCGCACCTGGTCTGGCACCTCAACAGCCACACAGGAGAGAAACCGTACAAATGTACAGAGTGCTCGAAACGTTTTGGAGAAATCTCCTCTCTGGTAGAGCATCTTCTCTCCCACCAAGGTGATAGTGGTGGTGGGAAAATCGGAACTATCACCACTAGTTGTTCAGGTAGCAGGAACCCTCACCACTGTAACGACTGTGGAAAGAACTTCTGTCGGAGTACCACATTAGCAGAGCACCGTCGCATTCACACTGGTGAGCATCCCTTCACTTGCGGAGAGTGTGGGGAGCGTTTCATGCGTCGAGCTCTCTACAGTGAACACATCCGCATGCATTCTGAAGAGGGCCCACCCAACCTATGTGTAGCTTGTGGGAAATCCTTCACGAAGCGCTATTCTCTTCTTCAGCACCAGCGGTCACACACAGGAGAAAAGCCCTACCAGTGCCCAGACTGCCCCAAAAGATTCATTGCCAGCTCTGCCTTGACACAACACCGGCGAATACATACCGGAGAGACACCCTACCTGTGTCCAGACTGCGGGCGCCGTTTTAGCCAGAAATCAGTGCTTACGACTCACCGGAGACTTCACACAGGTGAAAGGCCCTACAAATGCCAGGAGTGTGGGAAAGGGTTTAGCCAGAGTTCAGCCCTGACCCAGCATCTCCGGACTCACACTGGGGAGTCTCCATACAGCTGTGGGGAGTGTGGGAAGAGCTTTAGTGGTATGTCAGCCCTCAAGCGGCACCACCTCACCCATACTGGCGAACGCCCCTTTCGTTGTGATGAGTGTGGCAAGGGGTTCAAGCAAAGCTCCACTCTGGTCCAGCATCAGAGGATCCACACCCGTGAGAAGCCTTATGCCTGTATCCAGTGCAACAAGAGCTATAGCCAACGGGCTGCTCTTGCTAAGCACTTGAGGACCCATGCCAAGGACTCCTCACTTCCTAGTACAGACCCCGAGCTAGCAGATACCAAAGTTTACAAAGATCCTTTCATCCGATCCCGAGAGGTGAAGAATGACACAGAGAATGACACAGAGGAAGAGGGTGATGAAGTACTGGTGCTTCCTCCAGGGACATGGGATGCTGAGGTCAAAGAGGAGCCCGAGGATAAGTGGGAGAACAGTGTATCATCTGTGGAGATGGGGCCATTTATACGGGCGAAAGAGGAGGAGTTGGATGAGGCACGGTTGGAAGTACCAACAATATCTCTGAGGATCAAAGAGGAACCAGATGGCTGAGGGGTGTGTGGGAAGGAAGCTGGGCTTCATGTATTTTTTTAAAGGAATGTGAATGAATGGAGATGCTGTTGAACACACTTTCATGTAACTAGGTGATAAGGGAGAAAGATCAAACTAAGCCTGTTTGCAGTGGTTAATTGACTACAAAGAAAAGTTTGTATCTGAAACCTGCTCAGAAATCCACATCTTGTGATTTGACAATTTCACCTTTGTAATCCTAGATGTGTAGGGGGTAGTTTTGGTTACTCAGAAGTGAGCGAAATGAACTCAGTACATGTTCAGACGCACTCCTTCAGTTCGGATTATTCTAGCTGGGTCCTACCATTTCAATTGGGTTTTAGAGAAGAGCCCTGGCTGAAAAGAACTCTTTCCTGTTTGAATTCTGTGGGTCAGTTTCAGCGCCATACGACGCCTAAAATTAAAATGGTTCTGAAAATCTCATTAGTAGTAGTAGTAGTAGTAGTAGTAGTATTTAAATTTCTACCCCACCCTTCCAGACAAGACTGGCTCAGGGCGGCTTACAAACAACATAACGTTTACAGATACATAAAATATAAGTTAAACAACAATAGTTAAAACATTTAAACAGTCCTAAAAGCAATTAATCCTAAAAACATAGTAAAGCTGCAGCCAATTTATGGCGACCTCGTAGGGTTTTCAAGACAAGAGACGTGCAGAGGTGGTTTGCCATCGCCTGCCCCTGCCTAACAACCCTGCACTTCCTTGGGGGTCTCCCATCAGGGGCTGACACTGCTTAGTTTCCAAGATCCAATGAGATTGGGGTAGCCTGGGCCATCCAGGTGTTGGCAGGTCTGAAAACCTCATATTTAAATAATACCATCACCAGATTTCTGACTCATACAGTTGCGTGTGTGCCTGTAAAAGTATACAGACGAATCAGAGTATGTTGGTGGTAGCCACGACAACTAATTGGGGGGTGGGAGGTACAGAAGAGCATGACGGAAGCCCCAGCAGGTCATAGTGGCGTACAATCCCACCACTGCCTACTCAGACTGTATTAAAGGGCATGCTGACAACTGTGCCTAAGCTGCCAGTCTTTCCCTGTAATTGTGTTCTGGCTTCATTTCTCTTGCTAGACCAAGAGTCCTTGCTCTACTATGGCAAGATAATTTCTAGTCCTGCCCTTTGTGGTGGTTCATAGAAAGGGTATAAAAAAGATTATTATTGTTATGTCACTTTAAAGAAATAGCTGGAGGCAGAATTGCATCCAATAGACTGGGAAAGAATGCTTAGTCTGTCTCAGGAGTAGGCAATCTTTTTGGCCTGTGCACACACATAAAATGCCTAGCCATGAAGATGCTGGTGTTCTGGCAGACAAAAAAGAGGAGTGGGGGCTGAGATGAAGGTTCTGCTTGGTCAGACACAGACACAGGCTGAGGCCTAGTGGCACTACCGGCATCTCAGGGCTCACCCTGGGCATGGTTGGCAGCTGCACAGCTCAGGGAGGCACAAGCATGCCCACCATGTTCTCCCATGCCATGATGATACCAGGCCCAGTGGCTCTGTCACCACCTCAAGGCTAGCCTCAGTTGCTTCAGCAGAGAACCAACCCTGTAAGTCAACCAAACTGGTCCAATATGCCGTAACTCAGCACACGTTCCAGGGGTTGCCCACCCCCAAGTTAGCTATTCATAGTATCCAATTTGATCCTACATTGGAAAGAAAAAGGACCTACCTTATCCTGTGGTGTCCAAACTCCTGAAATAATGCTGATAGTCTTGTTTGGCCAAATGATGATTCTTTCCTTCCCTATCATGGTTATAGGCTGCTCTTTCATAGTCCCCCAAGATATTTTTTATTGTGTAAAAAGAGAACATGGCCTCATGATACCTCTGCCTCATGATACCTCTCCCATGCTTGAAATTGAGGGGGAAAGTAGTGCTTATACGTTCACTGCGCTTATTCACAGTGCACTAAAACTAGAGATTATGTAATTTTTTCATTAAAAAACACTGGTACTGGGATATATTTCATTCAGAGTTTTTTGTTGCTTGGAAAAAGGTTTGACTCTGTGAGCCCTTTAAAAGAAAGAATGAGCAGCGACCTTTCATTAAAGCTACCCTAAGGACAGGATCTCCTTGGAAACTACAATGATCTGTGTGATGGAAGAGTTATCATCTCTGCAAGGACTAATTTAAACCAAGCCAGAAAGCTCAACAGACGTCACTTTTTAACAAACGTTTTATAGAACAGTTTCTCTGTAACAAGAGCTTTTAACATCCTGTTGTAGTATAGTAAGAGACCATAGCTCTGTAACAGTTTTGAATGTCTCTGGTTCAGCTCTCCACAAAGCCGGTGCACTCTGGCTAGCTATCTTTAACCTCAGTCTCTAAAATGGGAATAATAATAATGGCCTACCTCACAGGGTTGCTGTAAAAGCTAACTAAAAAGTGCCAGGCAAATGATTAATAATGAATTTCATTTGTTTTTAACAGAAGACAGCTATAAATCTATTTGCATCTCTATGGCATTATAATAGCCCACAGTCACACGTGGGGAATATTTACACAAGCAGTTCAGGAAACCACATTAGCAAGGTGTGACCTAAGGATAACGCAGATATAAACAACACGTAGCTTGGTTGTGAAATACAAACATATTTTATAAACTACAGTTATGATACTGTTGACTAAGAAGGAGAACTAACTAAATCATTAGCAATGGAAATAACCCTGGCAACAGGAAACTTCTTCAGCATAATGAAATGGGCAAGCCGGTCCTGTGTTCTTCCACCTCAAGCATATTTTAGCCTTTACGTGTGTTCAGGTTTTCTTCAGTGGCTATACTATGATATAAGTGGGGTATGGGCGCTTCACTGCTTTCAATTTCTATAGGGAGCCATCTCTTAAGCAAAAAGTCCGTTACCTGACCTACCCACTCTGGGTGATTTGGGACAGAAGTTGAGGGCAAACCAAAAGTAGACTAGAAATAAACTTGTATGGGAAAACTTACGAATCCGGAGGGGGAAAGCGGGCAGGCATGCATATTTCGTTCACAGGCTTGAGATTCTGCAATACTGTTTAGTAATAATCATTTTTTTAATACACACGACGTCTGTTGGTAGGTTGAGGTTTATACCTTTTAAACCCCTTCGATATAAAGAAGCAGACAGACTACGGCTGCGGACGGTCACACACTAAACACTTTCCAACTAGATTTTGCTGTGTGAACTAGCAAAATCCAGTTGGAAAGTGCATTAAAAAGTGGATTATTTAGTGTGTGTGACCGCAGCCTACAGCTACCGTCCAAACCAAAGGCGTGTGTGGGGGGATAACCGATTCCCGCCAGAAGCAATGCAGAAAACGGGGGAGCCGGGGAATTGCATTACCTTAAAATATATAATAAAATAACAGCGTTCCGTGCGCCTTGGTGTTTAGTCATGCCGGCCACATGACCACGGAAACGTCTTCAGACAGCGCTGGCTCTTCGGCTTGGAAACGGAGATGAGCAGCGCAACCCTAGAGTCGGATTCGACTGGCTTTCGAGCAAGGGAACCTTTACCTTTTAAAATATATATATAACCAAAACAAGCACGGCTTTTTAATCCAATTTGTTACGTTAATTGTCGCCACCCCCTTTAAGGCTTTCCCAGGGCTTCCATAGGCGGATCCTGCACCTTCCCTCCCCGTTTTTCCGGGCGAATCAAGCACGTTACCTTGTGTAGAATTCCTTCCGGCAGAAGAGCCGGTCCGGAAGGAGAGCGCCCCTTCCACCGACGTTTCTTCTTGCCGATTATTTCTTTCCCGGACAAGGACAGCCAATGAGAAGCCTCCGTCCGTCCTCCTTAACCAACCTGTGCTTTTCTTCCGCCCCTTACGGGTAGATTTCCCCGCCCATTAAAGGCGCAGGGAGTCCACTGGTCGCTGAGATGCAGGGACTGGAAAGAGGGAATCATCCTCGCGCCTGATCGCCAAGCTCTTCTTCTTCTTCCCAAGCCCCTCCTTGAGCTCTCCCGGTCTCTGCGGCTGGCTTCCGTCGCTGCTCCCGCTCTCGTTCTTGCTTCTCGGCGGCGTGATGGAGGGGCAGCACATAATGGCTCAGGTGCACATCCAGACGCCGGTCTCCTCCTCCTCCTCCTCGTCCTCTGTGGCAGGGGAAGAATCCAGGAAGCTGCCCAATCCGGTCCGAGTGGCAGCCCGGGAAAGGATGGTGGGAGGCCGTTTGTTGGACAGTCATAGCCTGGATGGGATCAGCCAGGTGTATGGAGCCTCCAAGGCCCAGGAAGGCAGGAGGGCCACCATATCCAGCGCCCTGGAGCTGGAGGGGACCGTGAGCCACGATGGGGACCTGACCCACTTTGTGGCCAACAATCTGCAGATGAAGATCAAGATGAGTTCCAGGGGCAGCCTGGATGACACGGAGCCCACCTCCTCCTCCACGATGTCTTCGCAGCTGTCTGTACGGGGCAAAGCCGCAGACATCCCTCCGATCGACCCAGAGGTGATCCGGGATCTGGAGAGGCTGACCAGGGATGTGGCTCAGAGAGTGGACCAGATGCTGAGAGTCTTGAACGGCTCCGTCCAGAACATGACGGCCTTGAGCGTGGGCTACATCCAGACTTACCGGGATGCTGTGGACAGCTTGGGTGAATCCGTGGACATGAGCATCAAAGGGATGTACACCCTGATGGCCAGGTGTGAGGAGCTGGACCGGTCCATGCAGCCGGTCCATACTCTTGCGAAACAGATCCGGGAGATCAAGCGGACACTAGAGATCTTTGAGGCGCTTTGCAAGTAATGCCCCTTTCAGGAGGAGGAGTGAACTTGCTCAGCAGTGGGGGGCAAAGGCCAGAGGGCAGGGGGACAGAGAGAACACTCGGTCTGCTGTGATTCAGACTCCAAAAGGGAAATTATGTGTGTTTCTTGCACTGTAATAAATGTATTGTTGCAGTGTCTTCTCAAACTTTATGAAATTTTGCTTCCTCCTTATTTTCCCTGTACATCCAACCTTGAAATATCAGGGGGCTTACAGGTCCAGCTCATGCAACCCTTGCACCACTTCTTTGCCTAGATTCCTTCATCCCCTAATGCCACTGTCTTCAGCTTGAAGAAACTCAAGAGACTTTCAGCCCTATTATAAAGGGAAATTATGTGTGTTTCTTGCACTGTAATAAATGTATTCTTGCAGTGTCTTCTCAAACTTTATGAAATTTTGCTTCCTCCTTATTTTCCCTGTGCATCCAACCTTGAAATATCAGGGGGCTTACAGGTCCAGCTCATGCAACCCTTGCGCCACTTCTTCACTTGCCTAGATTCCTTCATCTCCCTGTGTTGCTTCAAAGCCTGACAAGATCCTCCTTCACCAGTACCACACCTCCTCTCCTAATGCCACTGTCTTCAGCTTGAAGAAGCTCAAGAGACTTTCAGCCCTGTTATAAGCCCTAGTGGGATCATCGTGATCCACATTTTGGGAAACGAGATCTGACTGTTTCTATTCCAGTTACCAATAGGTTGTGCCAGGTTTTACAGCTAGAAAAGCAGGAGTTTAGTTGGCAGGCCTCAGAATCTGCTTCGAAGAGTTCAGGCCCTTGTATTTGACTCTTCCACAATATCTACTACTTGGGCTTATAAATTTCTCATGCGTACCATACGGCTGTAGTGGAAGAGGTGGCCTTGGATAATTTGCAGTGTTCTTTATTATTGTAGTGAGTTACCACAATCACACACCATGTAAAGAGTTAGGGCTATCCAGGGCATAGTTGTGATTCTGAAGAATTTAAGCTCCATCTCTTATCATAGTTCATATACTATTTGTAAAGAAGGGGGAGTTTTCTCAGCATTTGTCTGTACAAGTAAGTTTTCTAAAGAGTAACTGACAACATAAAAACAGATGGCCCATCTGAGGTATTCACGTTGACAAAAGGCCCCTGACACACATCATGGAGCATTAAAATCATGGGGCAATAGTAGCAAAAAGGAGAAGGAGAAAGCCCCATGTTTATTCTTTCTGTGTGTTTTTCATTACAGCCAGTTGCCGAACCTTCATGAAATATATAGTCTGTGCTCTTAATGACTGCAGAGAGCTCTGGTTTGTTTGTCTAGTTTCACTGAATAATTCAGCATCTGTCAGTACCTGAAAGAATATGAGAAGCTGGTGTTGCCAGTTGCTGGGATTCGTAATGGGCATGCATCCACAGCTACCAGCCCCACTCTTTGGTTGCAGATAGCTACCAACTTCCGGGTTTTATGTTCCTATTTGGCAAATGCTTCTTTTCCAGGAGGCCGTTGCAGCCAAAACAAACAGAGATGACCTTTCTCAGGAGAGATCCAACAGCTGGCAGAGTCTAGCGGAATGCCAGATTACTTACGGTTTTTGTATTTCTCATTTGGAACCTTGGCTGAGTGGTGTATATCAAGAAATAAATTAATTCCTTTTATAGTACGGCTAATTCGTTAGATGTGTCTTGGTGCTCTACTTCAGTGGAGTCAGTATGTGTGATCATCTTCAGCAATGATAAAAGTCCTGCATTACCCCGAAGTGCAGCACCATCCATCTATGAAGCTGTTGGTGTGCTGGCAAACAAAAGGAAGCAAAAGAGATAAAAAGGTTCTACTGGGCCAGACACACTGAGGACAAGCTGAGTCACAGAAGCACTGGCAAGCACCTCAGTACTTGCCTCAGTGCTCTGGGTGAAGGATCAGCCCCACCTGCTGAGCAAAATGGTCTTGTGTGGCACTGCTTGGCACATGAGCTGGGGGCAGCCTACCCTGTCCTGCGTCATCACAGTAATGTATTTCATCACTACGTAGGGTAACTGGATGCCTGCTTTCTCAGAGGATAATGCTGGTTTTTTGTGGCTTGTCATCTGAGATTTCCCAGGTACCACTTCTGTCTAGTAAAAAAAGGCTGAAGTGGGTTTGTTTTTGGCTGAAGCTTTTCGTTAACATCTGAGTAACAGACTGTCATTCAAGAAGCAGAGCTCTTGCTGCTGCCCTAGACTTTGCTGGCACTGTCGTAAATTGTATTTCTATTTATAGTAATTTGGTATAGATTTGCATCCAAGAGTGTAAATTAGCATATGTAGACTTTGTGGTTCTTGTATTTCTCATTTGGAAGCTTGGCCAACTGTATATCAAGAAATAAATGAATTCTTTTTGTAGTATGGCTCATCCATTAGGTAAATTCTGTAAGTTTTAAGAAGAGCTCTTGTCTGGTTTTTGTTTGTGTTTTTGGTCACCGCCATCCCTAGATGGCCACTCTACCACCATGTGGGAAAGTTATCTGATGTGCTACTCCTTATACTGAGGGATGAAAAGCAGAAGAGGGTCCCCTCCCTTCTCTCTTTTCTTCCACAGGCACACTTTAAATTTTGTTTATTTGATTCCGTCACTATATGAAGAGTCTGACTCTGAGGTAAAACTGCTGGCTTATAGTTATAGGGAGTCGCTTAACAGCGGCACCAGCCCCGGAACTGGCTACAACCGTCGCTCGTGGGCGGGAAAATGACTTCAGCGCGTGAGGCGGAAAGTATTTATAGGGCTCACAGAGACGGGGGCGGAGTCAAAAGGGCAGGCGGGTGGGCGCGCTAGACGAAAAAAAGGTTAGAACAATGAGGAGCCGGATGAGTCGCGCGAAGTTGCAATGTCTGGCTGGCTGTCGCGCGCTTAAAAAATGAATGGCGACGTGAATGTGTGGATGAGGGAGGTGTCTGAAACAGGCAACCATATTCCTGTCCATGCTTCGCCCGCCTTTCTCCCGGAGAGACACACTTTTCAGTAAAGGAACTTTGCCTCTTTATAGGAACGTATCTGCAGATTGCAAACTGGAATGGCTTAGAGGTATGGGTGGGATTTCACGGGACGTGCAAGACGGTCCACTAGCAGCAGCCCCGGGTGTATGGAGACATACGAGGTTCAGGAATGGATGTCGATATTTCAGTTGCAGGGTGGTCTAGATTATAATGGACTTGGGGATTGTGGGACCTGGATGACCGGTCTGGCTTAAAGTGTCACGGGATGGAATGAAATAGCATCGGAAATGCGACGATGGGCTGCTGGCGGCGGGGGGGGGGGTTTCTCCATGGTGTATAAGGGACCGGGGCAATGCTCCCTCTAAGCTGTGGAGTCTTGTGAGCAAAAATTCTACTTTGTGAGCTACTGGCATTCAAGTTGCGAGTGAGCGATTGGGCTACTGCACATATTAGTTTGCTCTGGAGCCCTCCTTCCTGAGCTAAGACAAGAATGTGTGAGCTGGAGGTTTAAAAACGGTGAGCTAGCTCACACTCAGCTTAGAGGGAACACTGGACCGGGGTGTCTCATCCCGTGTGCAAAACGGAAAGGAAAAGGGTAAAAGTCCGATCTACATGGATCCTCATGAATTCATATGATTTTTACATTGAAACGAAATAAAACCACCATCATATTGTAGGCCATGTGTTACATAGGGGGCACCACAAAAACCACGCTCCTACAGATTTGTGGCACCACAACAGCGCAAAAACATTATTCCAAAGGACGGATCCTCGTGTATTCATATGATTTCTACGCTGGAATGAAATAAAACCAACATCATCGTGTAGACCATGTCTTCGACTATAGGAGGCACTACAAAACTCATGTCCCCACGAATTCGTGGCACCACAAAACTGCAAAAACAAGACCTGGGGGAGCCAGAATGACCTCTCGTGCGTGATGGCGGTGCGGCAACGCCACTCGGCCATCACAAGCGAGAGGCGGAATTTGCCCCTCGGACTCCAAGGCCACCACCCCAGGGCTCAGAGAGGCAGGGGGACATTTTGCGCCCCCTCCCCCCGCCGTTGCAACTGCCATTAGCACCGCCGCGGGCAACCATAAATTTTTAAAGAGCCCCTAACAAGATCTGGGGGAGCCAGAATGACCTCTTGCGTGTGATCGCAAGAGGTGGAAATTGCCCCTAGGACTCCAAGGCCACCACCCCAGGGCTCAGAGAGGTGGGGGAACATTTCATGCCCCTCCCCCCCTGTTGCCGCTGTGGGCAGCCATTAGTGTTGCTGCTACCGCTGACAGCCATAACTTTTAAAGAGCCCCTAACAAGATCTGGGGGAGCCAGAATGACCTCTCGCGTGTGATGGCCGAGCGGCAATGTGATTAGATCGTGTGTTTGGGGAGCCCCATTGCAAAAACCTTGAGGATCCGTTCTTCCAAAACACGTTTTTGCTTCATGGTGTTGCCATGAAGCTGTGGATCCATAATTTCTGTGGTTCAAACTTCCCGTGGACATGATATGTGATTTGATGGTGTGTTTGGGGTGTCCCATTGCAAAAACCTCGAGGATCCATGAGGATCCATGCTTCAGAACCATGTTTTGGCTTCATGGTGTTGCTGTGAAGCAGTGGATCCATTACTTTTGTGGTGCAACCTGTGCCCATGGACATCAGATGGGATTTGTTGGTGTATTCATGGTGACCCAACGCAAAAGCCTTGAGGATCCATGGGAATCGTGCTTTGGAACGATATTTTCGCAGCATGTTGCCACGAAGCCGTGAATCCATGAATTCTGTGGAGCAAGTAGTGGCCATGGACATGATATGGGATTTAATGGTATGTTTAGGTGTTCCAACACAAAACCCCCAAGAATCCATGAGGACCCATGCGCCAGAACCATGTTTTGGCTTCATGGTGTTGCCACGAAGCCATGGATCCATGGCTTTTGTGGTGCAAGCTGTGTCCGTGGACATGATATGTGATGTGATGGTGAGTACATGGTGACCCAACACAGAAACACTGAGGATCCATGAGTATCCATGCTTCAGAAC